AGATTATACAGGTGAAATTTCAGTGATGTTAACTACTGCGGCTCCACACAGTTTTCAAAAAGGAGATTGCACTGCCCAGTTGCTACTTTACCCTATCTCCAGGGTCAGTTTAAAAAACAAGCAGGGACGCCTGGGTGGCTCAGTTGGTTAAGCAGCTGCCTTCGGCTCAGGTCATGATCCCAGCGTCCTGGGATCGAGTCCCACATCAGGCTCCTTGCTCGTCAGGGAGCCTGCTTCTCCCTCTGCCTCTGCCTGCCATTCTGTCTGCCTGTGCTCGCTCTCCCTCTCTCTCTCTGACAAATAAATAAATAAAATCTTTAAAAAAAAAAAAAAAAAAAGCAAAGCAGGGCGCCTGGTGGCTCTGCCCCACATCAAGCCCCACATCGGGTTCTCTGCTCAGCAGGGAGCCTGCTTCCACCTCTCTCTTTCTCTGCCTGCCTCTGTGCCTACTTGTGATCTCTGCCTGTCAAAAAAATAAATAAAATCTTTAAAAAACAAGCAAAGAAACTCCAACAGGTTTGGGAGCACTGGAAAAACTGGGGCATAATTAACTGAGAAAATCTATCTAGATACACTGATTTGTCTTTTTAAATATAATTTGTCTTTTAAAATACAAGGAAAAGAATTTTCAGGTCTAATTGATACCAGAACTGATGTCTCTATTACAAGCTCATTACACTGGCCTAAGAAATGGCCGTATAATATAACTTGTCTTCTGTTAATATCATGGGATTAGGACACGCTAGCAATGTGTGTGACAGCTCCAATATTCTTTTCTGTGAAGGACCAGAGGGTCAAAAGGGCTATCTGCAACCATATATTGCGGACTTGCCCATTAACCTTTGGGGGCGAGATTTACTAAGTCATTGTGGAGTCTCTCTGGTTAGACCTTCCCCTAAGGAGGATTCCCAGATTTTTCACGAAGGGCCACTGATCCTGAACTCATTAAGTTAACTGGAAGAGTGACAAACCTATTTGGGTGAAGCAGTGGCCCTTAACACAAGAGAAATTACCTGCTTTACAAGCCCTAGTTGAGGAAGAGATATGAAAAGGGCATACTGAAGAATCGCACAGTCCTTGGAATTCGCCTTTGTTATTTAAAACAAAACAAAACAAAACAAAAAAAAACCCAGGAAAGTGGAGACTTCTAACAGACCTGCATGTGGTTAATTCTGTTACCAACCCATGGGGTCTCTCCAAACCCGTATTGCCTTCGCCTAATACAGTTCCACTAGAATGGGCAATGATTCTCAGAGATTTATAGGGTTGCGTTTATACTATACCACTTGCTAGGGAAGATTGTCCCCATTTTGCTTTCACAATTCCCAGTGTGAATTTAAAAGAATCAGCCAAATGATACCAATGGAAAGTTTTACCACAGAGAATGTTAAATAGCAGGAATCTGTGGCCAAAGTTACACCGCCGGTCAGAGGTCAGTTTCCACAAATTTTATCTTACCCATTATATGGATGATATATGATGTGAAGCCTCTGATAACGTACAATTGCAGGACGCATTTAATACGCTTCAATTACAACTGGAAAAATAAAAACTAATTATAGCTCCAGAAAGAAATACAAACCACCTCACCTTTCTCATATTTGGGGTTCATTATGAACAGGACCTCAATTAAACCACAAATAGTTCAAATGCGTAGAGATAAAATTACGACCTGAAATGATTTGCAAAAATTATTGGGAGATTGGATAAGACCTAAAATTGGAATTCCCACTTAACCTTTGCAGCATCTGTTTGCCTCTCTGAAGGGAGATCTTAATTTGAACAGCCTTAGGACCCTATCAAAAGAGGCCTTAAAAGAATTACGATTTGTCGAAACCCAAATTCAGTCAATGCAGACGGATAAAGTCCAACCTAAAATACCCTTAAATCTTACTCTTCATACCCCACATACACCCACCAGATTAATTATACAGGAAGAACTAATCATAGAATGGATTTTTCTTCTAAATAATACTGTTAACACACTCACTATTTACATAGACCATATTGGTAGCATTATTCAATTAGGAAGAAAAAGAACTTGCCAAATACAGGGATATACGATCCAAAGGTTATTGTTCTGCCTTTAAATAAGACACAAATTGAAACAGCATTCCAGATAATTTAAATTGGCAAATTGCCCTCAGTGGCTTTACTGGAAACACTTCTTCTCATTATCCCTCTTTACTTATTGTTTTTTTAAAACGTAATGCTTTTGTCCTTCCTAAAATTACTTCTAAAAATCCAATAACTGATGCCCCTACTTATTTTTCTGATGGCTCTGTCAAAGGCAAAGCCTGTTTCTATGGTCCTACCTTAAAAATCATATTTACTACAGGTCTTTCAGCACAGAAATCAGAATTAATGACAGTTACTGCATTATTTCATGTTTCTTCTGCATTTAATCTGTTACCTGATGCTTTATACGCAGTGTATGTTTTTTTTTAATCATTTTTTTTAGTGTATGTTTTATAGCATATAGAAACTGTCACTGTTTCTACATCTGATGTACTATGATGGCCCTCATCATGGTAGCTGTAAGTCTTCGGGGATGTTATGCACAAACAACTTCACTTACTGGGCTCATATCCCTAATCCTCCCCTGCTTTCCAGTAGAATGGGGAGAAGATATAATACCAATTTATCTGAATGCCTCAAAATGGGTACTTGGAATTTTGGGTCCTAGATTGCCATTATTGCCCCAAGAGGAGAACACAAACATTAGTCTTGGGATATTGGAGCAGACCAGTATGTATGGCAATCATTCCAGTTGCCTTATCCTTGATGATCAAAGATTGGTTGGTGACCTCTCTACTAACAGTGGTCTGACTAAAATCCAGTTACATTTACTCTTCATTAAAGGATTCCAAGCCAATGAATATCAGGGTCCAAGCTATAGCATAGCAGCAACCACCCCTCCCCCCCACCCAATGCAGACTGACACAGATGTGGTCTGATGAGGGAATCTTTACCAGAGGATAGTCGAGCTTCTTACCCCAGGGTTCTTATTAATAACCTGCGGAATTGTATGGGACTGGTCCCCTAAAGGGATGGCAGTCACCAAATGCAGACCCTATTTCTCTCAACAGCCATCCCCTTTGCTGATTATCATAAAAGACAAGAATTTATGGAAGGTCATCACCGCTTTAAGTCACCTTAGAGTCTGGAACGGCTCTTATATTTATCAGTCCACTAGCTATGCATTCATCTTTTTCCTGGTGAGAAGAATGGGTGAGAGCATGTGTTAGAGATCCCTATGTTTTTTGTCATTGGAAAAATGACTTTCGAGCATAACAAAAGAGAAATAAACTGTCCCAAATGTAAAATGTTCACCTGTGTGAACAAGAATGTTTACACAGACAATTCCATTATTCTCAAAGCTAGAAGAATAAGCATCTGGTTACCAGTGAAACCACTGTGTTTGGGAAAGCTCTCCAGGTAGGCATGTACTTTTTAACAGTTTTGAAGGCCTGGGTACGTAGAACAAAAAGATACCTCGGGCTGTTTATAGCAGCTGTTTTAGGAATTAGAGTCATTACTGCTATGGCTACCACTGCAGGAATGGCCTTGCATCAGACTGTACAAACCACACAGTTTGTACAAAAGTGGCATGAGAATGCTAGCAAAGCTTGGAATCAACAATCATTGATCAAGGATTAGATGTAAGAATCTCTGATTTAGAATCAGCCATAATGTATACGGGGGATGGTCTTCAAAATACAAAGCTTAAGGGCACCTGGGTGGCTCAGTGGGTTAAAGCCTCTGCTTTTGGCTCAGGTCATGATCCCAGAGTCCTGGGATCGAGCCCCGCATCGGGCTCTCTGCTCAATGGGGAGCCTGCTACCTTTCCTCTCTCTGCCTGCCTCTCTGCCTGCTTGTGATCTCTGTCAAATAAATAAATAAAATCTTAAAAAAAAAAACAAAAAAAACAGCTTAGGCTCCACCTTTCCTGTGACTGGAATGTTTCTTCCTTCTGTGTTACTCCCTAACGCCTATAACAAATCATAAATATCGGGGAACAAGATTTGCTGTCATATTACCAATTATTATGCCAATAATTTAACTTTAGATTTAAAACAGCTTCAAGATACTATTCAAGGCATTACTCACTCATCATTACAATCAGTTCCAGGCATGAGTTTTGCACAAAGTATTGATGATAATCTGTCTGATCTAAACCCTTTGGATCAGACAAACTGTGGTTTTGGCCTTATAGGTGGAATGATTATTCTGTTTATCGCTTTAATCTTTTTATGCTTAGTCCTCAGATGTGCACAAAAATCCTTCCAACGACCGATAAATCGGGAAGTTGAAAAACCCGACTTTCCTGCTTCTGCACAAGCAAAAAGGGGGAAATGTAACTGTCCCTCAGAACAGTGTATAACTTAAAATATAAGAAATTGTACCAGTCGCGCAAGCATGCTTAAGTATAACCTTAAGAAAAACACGCACTAGCAACAGGTCTCTGGGGGAGAGGACGATTTACGTCTTGGAAGCAGAGCAGCCCTGGGGAACCCTGGCCCACTCAGGGTGGAAGGCCGCCTGCTTCACGTGTTCGTTGTCTCCTCTGCCTCCGAAACAGCCTGCAGTTAATCAAGATAATCCCTTTAAATGTGCTTGCTCAACTCTATTCTATACTGTTTGACCAGGCATAGCTTGCTTTTCTTCTTGCTTATCTATAAGACAAATCAACATAACACATTTTCTTGTTTATCTACAAGACATGGTTAATGTTTGACCTTCAGCTCCTCCGTTGGTTATCTTATATAAATAAATACAGGACTGCAGAGGAGTTAGGTGGTGGACCCCTGCTCCCTTTCTCTTATAGCTAACTTGTTCGTGCCTCATTCTTTTGTGCGGTTGGGAAGCCACAATAAGACTTTTCTTTCAAAACATAATTCAAAAATTGATAAAAAGCCCAGTGCATCCCTCTCTTGCTGTCTCTTCAAAAATATTTTAAAAAGCCCAATGAGAAGTTTTATTTACACGGTAGAAAAATTGAGAACATTTTTCACAATTTCAGATGTGATGAAAGTACAATATTTTATGTGGCTTCTGAGCTCCCTTAAAGGATTTGATAACTGCATAAAAAATTTTATAATCTTGATAGCCAGACTAATGTTAACGTGCTCTCGGTTTAGTTTTAATTGTATACTTCTTAAAACATAATAGAACGACCGATTTGGTAATGTTGAATCTATTGATAAAAGTGACCCCAACAAACTGGTCATTATTTAGTGGAAACATTTACAAGCAATTACAGGTGCTGATGCCCTGCAGTTGTCTCTTTCTCTGATTTTTCAATTCCCTAACATTTTCCCCCCTTTTCGAGAAATGGCATAATGGAGAGAAGACCCTCGGGGTACTAAACACAAATGCAGACATTTAAACATTGATGGCTTTAAGATTCATTTTGTGGTTAAGTTTTTGTTTCTTAAAATTTGTGAGTTTTCCCTTAAAATCCTCGCGCTACATTGCTTTAGCCCCACCGGCTACGTGCCCCCTCCCCAACCCATTTCCGACTTAACTGGGCTTCTGCCCACAGTTTCAGGGACCCGGGTCCCTCGCACCAGCTCAGCAGGACCCCGCAGAGTCCAGTCGCCCAGAGCGCCAAACCCGGGGTCCCTCGCGCACCCCGCCAAGTACCCGCCGCGGACTCTGCTCCCCGCCCTCGGGGTGGGGGGTGGGGGGTGGATCAGAGGCCGCTCCCAAAACATCCTTAAGGGCATTCCCTTTGTTCGTTCACTCGACAAATACTCCGGTTCACTCGCCCCTCAGTCTTCAGAAAACCAATTTGGGCCACGCTCTGCAGGAGTACCGTCTTCGCCTTGTTAACGACACGATGAAGCCAGGGAGGACGAATCTCGGCCATTACTTAGCAAATACCTTCTCGAGCGGCCGGGAGCATTGCGCCAGCTCTCTTCCCTTAATCCTTCACTTAATGGCAAACAGTGACCACGGCTGCACTCTGCGGTTTTTGCCTCCAAGTCTGCCTTACGCCAAGTTCCTCCACGACTCGAGCGGCTACCCTCTCTCCAAGCCAGCAGGAGAGACTTCCGGGGGCAGCCAGGGCAGCCGGGGCACGGCGGACTCAAGGCCCGCCGTGGTCTGGGTCCAGGCCTCAAACAGCTCCAGGCTGGAGGTGGGGAGAGAATCACTTCCGAGAGCGGCGACCCAGGGGGGGGTCTCAGCTGGATTTTTCCATTCAGGCGGGAGGACCCGTCAACCGCCTAGCGCAGCGGAACTACAACTCCCAGCATCGTAGTAGCTGCCCGGACTTCCGGAAGCCAAGGCCCGGCGGGGAGGAAGCAGCCGAGACCCGGCCAAAAAGGCCGGGGGTTAATTTATCAAGAAAAAAGGGGGCGGGAAGGACTGTAGGGTTAGCCTGTTAGTTCGCCACCATGAACGTGGTTTTTGCTGTGAAGCAGTACGTTTCCAAAATGATAGAGGACAGCGGACCGGGTATGAAAGTACTTCTCATGGATAAAGAGACGGTGAGTTTGCTTTTGCTCAGTATTTGTTTGTGAGGGAGCTCTCTCTCTCATAACAGCTACTCCCACTCCACTGTAGGATTTAGTGTTTAAAGGTTTTGAAGCGAGGGTCAGTTCTGTGTGGAACTAAAAGGTGGTAATAAAGCTTGTCTAGTAGGTTTGAAGTGTAAATAGCTGTAACTACCACCAGAGATTTCTTCATCTATCCGGAACAATTTATTGGAATCAGAAGTCCTTTCCTAAATGTCTCTGCCAAGAAATAATATGTGAGACAGGACACTTGGAAGACTTTTATTTCCAGTCAGCGTTCTGTTTTTAAAACAAAGCTGTTAGTGTTCAAGCTGAGATGACAGGTTATTACTTGTTGGTCACAGAATTATTTAAAAAAAAAAATCACACTCTAAGGTGATGGGAAAAAAATTTTTTTTAATTTATGGATTGTCTGTGTTGAGAGAGAACATGTTTTTCATTCTGGTACATTACCTACATGTTTTGGTTGTTCAGTAAATGTTACTACATGTTAGTATTTGCCTTATCCAGCCAAGTATTAATGGAAAAAAAAATTAAGTCTTAGGTGTTGCTGCTTGTTCATATTATTTTGACTAGCATAATGATTAGTTAATTCTTTTTCTTTACAGACTGGCATAGTGAGTATGGTATACACACAATCAGAGATTCTTCAGAAGGAAGTGTACCTTTTTGAACGCATTGATTCTCAAAATCGAGAGGTCATGAAACACCTGAAAGCAATTTGTTTTCTTCGTCCTACCAAGGTACTGAGCTGTCATTTGCCCAGGCAAACACAGAGCACCCTGATATGAAAGCATTAAGAAAGCAAAATAAATTTGTATTATCATTTGTGGCATCATAATTAACCTGGTTCATCAGAGTTATAACCTTGACTCTCCTGCTTTCCACATCTCAGTTTACTCCTTAAAATCAGTTTTTCCTCCAAGATGCCTTTTGGGTTCCCAGCTACTTCCTAGACCACTAACTATCCTAGCAGAGACCCACTTCACTTAATTTCTGGATTAACCTCCATAACCATCACACTGAACACCATTGCCACTTAATCTTCTATACTTAATGTACCTACACCAATATCTTGAGTCTGTATCATTTTATTCACGTGTATGCACAGGAAGATACATATAATGGCTCAATTTTACTTCCATGATTAAATCAATATTTAGTAGCCCAGCCCTCAGATCCCTGCTTTAGCTGGTTTGGCCTGCCCTTATGTATCCAGCCTCCTGTGTCCAATCTCTGCTCCTCCACTCTTGCCAACTAGGCCTTTTTGTCATCCCTCTATATGCTCATTCCTCTTCTCTATTTGTTCTCTTCCCCTAATTAAAGGTTCTTTAGCCTTCTGTCTATTTTCATCCATCATCTTCTAAATCTAGGTTGAGTCCTCCTATGAAACTCCTATAGTATTTCAACCTTATTTTGTATATTTATATACATGATCTTTAACTCCAGTGCACTCTTTTACCATGCTTGTATATTATGTACTTTCTGAAATACAAATGTCATGTCATGTCATGTCACCCCCACTTGAAATCCTTGAATGACTTGTTGTTTTTATGCTAAAGGCAAAACTCTTTAATTATGGTTCTGTGTGGTCTGGTTCCTGTCATTCCTACAGCCTCATTTCAAACCATTGCCCCTTTTGCTCTTGGCCACATTAATCTTTCAGTTCACTTTATTCCATCATGCCACAGGACCTTTGCACAGGCTTTTCCCTCTGCTTGGAACTTCTTTACTTCCTCTAGCAGATCTTCCCTGATTTTGCTGACCAAGTCAAACCCTCCTCTTGTTAGCACTTACAGCACCATCTTCTTCTCCCTTTTGCTTGTCATAGTTGAAATTGTATATGGTTTGATCAATATTTGTCTCACCTACCAGCAGTAAGCTCCATGAGAATAAAGATGTTATCTGGTTGGTTTTGTTTTTTTTTTTTCCACACTATTATGTCTCCAGTGCCTGCTACATGGTGGACCTTGATAAATAGTTCCTAAATTAATGAATATATTAATACTGTGTTATAGTCATTTCCAGTTGTTTCACATTTGTAGCTCATGAAATTTTGGTGCTGAGAGGGATCTTAGAGATCATCTGGTCCATCATTTCCTAAGATTTTTCATTAGAGAACCTCTTTATACATATATAGATAGATAGACACACTCTCTGAAAATAAAAATGTCAGGTTTTTTTAAGATTTTATTTGTTTATTTGAGAGAGAACACAAGCAGAAGCAGGGTGAGGCACAGAGAGAGAGGGAGAAGGCTCCCTGCTGAGCAGGGAGCCCAATGCAGGGCTCAATCCCAGGCCCCTGGCCCCTGGGATCATAACCTGAGCCAAAGGTAGACACTTAACCAACTGAGCCACCCAGGTGCCCTACTAAAAATGTGTTCTTAAAAATGACTTTTTTTTGGGGTGCCTGAGTCAGTTAAGCAGCTGCCTTTAGCTCAGGTCGTGATCCCAGGGTCCTGGGATCGCGTCCTGCATTAGGCTCCCTGCTCAGCAAGGAGCAGGCCCCCGTTTGTGCTCTTTTTCTCTGTGTCAAATAAATAAATAAATAAATACTAAAGAAATAAAAATGACTTTTCTTTAATATTATGTTGTAAAGTTCATTTTAATGTATTTTTAAATCTAAATGAGTTTTCAAAAACTTTTCCCATTTAATAGGCATTAATAGACAATGTGCATTTCTTATATTACTTTTAGTTCTTTAAGGAAATGTATGATTTTTTAAATATTCAAAACTGTATTGCATATCATGTTTAGACTAGGGACCAAATTCATGTTGAAATTTAACTGTGTTAATAGTATCAAAAATAGATAAAACCTGCATTATGATCTTGTGTAATTGGAATTCTTATGTTTTGGCCATATAAAAATCAACTTATTTTTACTTCTAAATTTCATATTTTACCTTTTTTTTTAAGATATATTTATTTTATTTGCGAGAAAGAGAGAAAGTGTCGGGGGAAGGGGCAAAGGGAGAGGGAGAAAAAGAATCCCAGGCAGACTCCTCGCTGAGTGTAGAGCCTGACACCAGGCTTGATCTCATGACCCATGAGATCGTGACCTGAGCCAAAATCACAAATCAGTTGTTTAACTGAATGAGCCACCCAGGTGCCCCCATATTTTGTTTTTAAATCTTAGCCTACTGTTTGCAAATACTTCACAAACATTACAGTTGTGCAGTCTTAGGTCCCAGTAAGTTAAAAGTCAAAGTGAATGCAATTAAGTGTATTTTCTCTTGAATGTTGGTTTTTAAAGAACTAGATACGTTTTGATATTTTTTTTTAAGATTTTATTTATTTATTTGACAGAGAGAGATCACAAGTAGACAGAGAGGCAGGCAGAGAGAGAGAGGGAAGCAGGCTCCCTGCTGAGTGGAGAGACGGATGCGGGACTCGATCCCAGGACCCTGAGATCATGACCTGAGCCAAAGGCAGCGGCTTAACCCACTGAGCCACCCAGGCGCCCCTCGTTTTGATATTCTATCTAAGAATTTTGATTAGATGAATAATTTATAGACATAATTTATAATTTATAATTTATTATAAGTGGCCTGAGGCAAATATGCAGAATTATTATTAGTTTTATGTTATACTTCAACATTTGTATTTTTAATACTTTTAAATCTTAATTTGGCCACAGTGGTGCAGCTCATTAATATTATAGATGATTCCAGATCATTATTTAACATAACTCTTTTTCACTTCCAGCCCTTATCCCTGCAACATACACTGAAATCTAGACTTCAGCACTCAGTAGATTCTCAGTAAATACTTAAATAAATCAATGAACAATATTATTTTTTCAGTTAAACAATTCTCACATATTATTTGTTTATTTATTGTTTCCTTTCTAGGAGAATGTGGGTTATCTGATTCAAGAGCTCCGGAGACCAAAATACAGTATATATTTTATTTGTAAGTATATTATTTCACTTATTCCATCATGTAACTGTATCCTAGCTAATTTGTTCTGTTGGACACTTCATATCATTAATAAAGTAACTGAATCAGTCACTATACGAGCCTGATTTTTTTATATCCTTTCCAAGTATTAAAAGTCCTGTAACCAACCAGTATTCTGTTTTAGAGAGCTAAGTGGGATTTTCTTCGTCATTGACTAATTAGGTAAAAATTACTTTTTAAGTTTTACTTTGCCTATCAGTATTCCTTATGAGTCAAAATTAGAAGTAGCCAAATTTCACATCCCAACCTCTGCAAAAAGAAAACAAAGCAAAAAGTGTATACTTATTCCTGTTTTATACTTTTATGAACTGAGGCATAGAAGCTGATTTCTTTATGTGGAGGAGGATATGCTTGAGTTTGTTGGAAAAGCAGAGATTTACTTTACATCATACCAGATGAAAACATTCCACTTCTCTTTGCTAATTTATATAATACTTAAAAGTACAAGTCATCCAGTAGGTATCTCTTATGTACATAACTTTTGGGAGGGAATGGGGGGAAGACAGAGTCCTGGAAATAAATTAGGTTTGTGGTTACTGTACATTTTACATGATTTTTTTTTTCGGTGTAACACATTCTGCTTTGGAAGTTACATCCATTCTCCTCTAGATGTCATTATTGATCTTCATGGATGAGTAAGTCTAGTTTATTTGGTGCCATTTCCAAAACCAAGGATAAACCTTAACTCTCAGTATGTAGGACATTGCAAAATTTTAAAGCTTACTTGAAGGCTTTGGAGTTTTAGGGTTTAGATTATACTCTAAAATGTACCTACTTTCTACACTATATGCTACAATTAAATAATAGTACCAAAAATTAACATTTGTGATAAGACAGTATTTTATAAAGAACTTTCTCATATAATTATTTCATTCAGCCCTTACAACAACCTCAAGAGGTAAAAATTGGCAATTTAATTATTTTCTGCCACCCTAGTGGTGGTGTTATTGTTGTTTTTCTTTTGGCTAATAGTCACAGGCTTAGTTTTATAATTTAACTTTTTATTTGAGGCAATTATAGATTCACATATAGTTTTAAGAAATAATACAGAGATCCCATTTATTCTTAAACCCATTTCCCCCACTGTAGCATCTCACATAACTATAGTACAATACCACATCCAGGATATTGACATTGATACAGTTAGGATACAAAACATTTCCATCTCCATAAAGATCTCTCATATTGCCCTTTTATACCAGATGCACTTCCCTCCCACCCAACCCCATTATGAGCCCCTAGCAACCACTACTCTGTTCTCTATTTCTATAATTTTGTCATTTCAAGAATGTTACATAAATGGAATTATATAGTATATAACCTGTTGGGATTGGCTTTTTTCACTCAGCATTCTTGAGTTTCATCGAGGTTGTGACATATATCAATAGTTCATTCCCTTTTATAACTGAGTGGTATTCCATGGTTATATGTGGTTATACCAAAATTTGTTAGCTACCCATTGGAGGATATCTGAGTTGTTTTCAGGTATGGCTACTACAGATAAAGCTGCTATAAACATTTGTGTATAGGTTTTGTGTGAGTATGAGTCTTAATTTCTTTGTAGTACATAATGTCCAGGAGAGCAAGAGAGCAGTTGCTGGGTCATATGGTAGTTCCATGTTTAGTGTTTTAAGAAGCTGCTAAATGTTTTCTAGAGTGACCATACCATTTTACTTCCACTAGCAATGTACAGGTGATCCAGTTTCTTTGTATCCTTATGAGCATTTGGTATTGCACTTATTTTTTATTTTAGCCTTTCTAATAAGTGTGTAGTCATTAGAGTATTTTTAGATGGTCACAAGCTAGATACTTAGGAAAGTGTAGAAACTTCTACTTAGAGATGTGTGTGTATGTGTGTGTGTACGCACACATATGAATATATGAGAGATTCCCTGTGCTGTCGAATTTAAGTAGACATATAATGGAATCACTTCTTGTGCTGAGTCTCTCAGTTTAAAATTGAGCTGGTCATGAGATGAAAGTCTCCTTCTTTGAGGCAGCAGTTGAAATTAGTAACCAGTAACGCAATGTCTTTTCTTCTGGTTCTAAAGGTTGTTTGATTTGCACTGTGAATCTGTGAAGTAGAAGAAAAAAATGATATATATTAAAGTAGCACTAAAGCCTAGGAAAAACAGGCTCTTGGGACTTGGGTAAAGCAATCAATTTCACAATTTTATTTGATTAAAATAAACTAAATGAGTTTATATGTAGTGATTACATTCATTACAAACTTTCAACACAATTTATATCAACACTAAATTGGCCTTCTGCTCATATAACTTTTTTATAATTTCATTTTTGTATTTCTATGTCTACTAAATATGTTTAATAGGTTCTTCCCTTCCTTTATTTAAAAAAAAAAAACCCTCTTATGGACTTCTTCAAATGTATACAAATAGTGTAATAAATCCCAGTGTACCCAACACCCAATTTCGAAAGTTGCTTTGCCCATGGTCTGTCTTCTTTTAGCTATACTACTGCCTATTCCCCGACCAGTGTTATTTTGAAGGACATCTAAGACATCATATGAGTTCATCCCTAAATATTTCAGTATGCATCTCTAAAAGATAAGGACTTATTTTACAAAATACCATTATTAATAAAAAATAAAATCCATTATTATACATATCGAAATAATGAAAAATAATTCCTATTTTCAAATACTCAGTGTTCAAATTTCAGATTCTCTTACAGTTTTGTTTTTTTCTTACTGTTTTTGTATTGGAATTATGATCGTAATAAGATCCACACATTGCTGTTAATTGATACGTTGTTTAAGTTTCTTTAATCTTCTATAGGTGTTTTTTCTGTCTCTCTCTCTATCTCTCTCTCTCTCTCTCTCTCTCTCCAATGCAATTTATTTATTGAAGAAGCTACATTGTACTGTTATAGTATCTCACAGTCTGGGTTTTGCTAATTGCATCCTGATACGGTAGTTTAACATATTCTTTGCATTTTAAAATATTCCTGGGTCACCTGGTTGGTGCAATTAGTTAAGCATTGACTCGGCTTAACTAATTGCAGCCGGCTTAACTAATTGTTTCGGCTCAGGTCACAGTCTCAGGGTCATGGGATCAGGCCCCATATCGGGCTTTGTGCTCAGTGTGAAGTCTGCTTCAGATTCTCTCTCCTTCTTCCTCTGTCCCTCCCACCTGTGCGTCCTCCCTCTCTCCCTAAATAAATAAATCTTATAAATAAATACACAAATAAATAAAATATTCCTCTGCCCTTTAGTTCTATAGATTGTTACTTAGATATAGAAGCTTAATTAGATTCAGATTTGAGTTCTTCTTGGCAAGAATATTTCATAGTCAGTGCTGTGTGCTTTCACTGATTGTCTCTTATTGTGATATTAGCATCAGTTGATGCTCAATACCTAGGTATTGATCCATTAGTGGTTGATAAAAATGAAGATGTTTTAATTCTGTCATGATCATTCCTTCTTTGTTTTTTAGCTGGAATATTTCCATAAGGAGATTTTTCTCCTCATCTACTATTTGGTTACCTGTGGTATAGTTTGTATTTAAAAGAATAAAAACTCACTTCTTTCCCTTTATTTGCTATTTTCAGTATAATGACTTGGTTTCCTGGCATCCTCCAATGCCTACATGGTGGTCTTTTTTTGAAGTATTATGAATTTATGGATTTGAATATATTTGTGCTACTCAGTTCAGAGGTGTTCGACTGTGACATATGCCACAATGTATACCAAACTTCACTTAATCATTAGGCTCTTTTATGTCTCATTGGAGCAAAAGTGATCTCCTTTGAGTCAGCCACAACTCATATATCTGTTTCAGATTTCAGTAATGTGATCAGCAAGAGTGATGTGAAGTCATTAGCTGAAGCTGATGAACAGGAAGTTGTGGCTGAGGTTCAGGTAAATGTATTGGTCCTCTAACACATCTCTTATATTGGCCCTTTTTAAAGATTTGAATCTAACATAAGAAAGGTGCTGTCTCAAAAGAAGGGAGGCTATTGATCAGACATTATAAATGTGCATTGCACCAAACTATACTCAGAAAGTTTGTAAGAGGTATCAAATTGAGTGGGAACAGAATTAAAGAAGTCAGTGGGAGTAAGGGGATTGGACTGGTACTGGATCCTACTGAATGGATAGAGAGTTTCACAGGGTTGGGAACAGAGTCAGGTATATTCTGTGCTAGCTTTTTTTTTTTTTTTTCCTATGCTAGTTTTTTGAACCACATTATAAGAATGTTCATCTTCAGGGCTATGTCTGATTGGAAAAGAACAGGAAGTAAAGGATGTGAATGAGGTTTGTTAAAGTTCTGTTTGTGAATATCTTGCTCTGGGAAGGAAAAAGTAGACTTTGTTGTTAGGTTAAAACTTGGTAACTCCTAAATATTCTGCATGCTTTATAATACATCACATCAGAACATGTCATGTTACCTTTTACTTCTTTAATGCTTTAGTGTTCTTGAATACATTTATCACCTCATAAATGATAGAAGAATAGAATAGGACAGCAAATAAACAAGTTTTGGATTTTCAAAAGGATGTGCTAAGTCATAAATGAATAATAATAATAATAATAAAAGGAATGACCTATTTTAAAACATATTCTCCCTCATGTTAATACACTGTACAAAAAAAAGAATAGACTGAACAATGAAGTTCTTTTTCATCTGTGTGTAACATTGTATATCCTGTAACAGTGTCTTATTTTTACTAATTGGTTAGTGTACACAGGTCTCCAGAAATGTAGTGTACACACTTCTACAACTTTTTTTTTAGAGGATTTATTATTATTATTATTGCTGCCCTTTTTTAATTATTTTATTCCCCCACATTGACTATTGCTAGACAGTTATTAATTGATCAGTTTTTTATCTCTTTTATACCTGCATTTCCTCAAATTTGATTATACCACATAGTATCATATCACATATGAAAATATTACTGTATGATATAGTTGGAATTTATGAAATAACTGACTAATCTTGGTGCTTTGTTTGCAGGAATTTTATGGTGATTATATTGCTGTGAATCCACATTTATTTTCCCTCAATATCTTGGGTTGCTGCCAGGTATGGAAGAAAAGGATAAAAAAATAAGTTTATTTATCAGGTGGGAGTTAATTCAGCAAGTAATTGGACTTGTAAGAAAAAATTCAAATCTTTTCTCTGAATATGCATTTTTAACAAAAAGGGTCGAAATTGGGATCCAGCCCAGCTATCCAGAACAACTCAAGGACTGACAGCTCTCCTTTTATCTCTGAAGAAATGTCCCATGATTCGTTACCAGCTTTCATCAGAGGCAGCAAAGAGACTTGCAGAATGTGTTAAGGTATGGCTTTCCCTATCCCCAGTTCCAAAGCATCAAGACCATTCATTCCCTTATCATATTTCAGAAACTATAGCAATATTTTTTCTACAACCAAGGAGGTGATGTGTTAGGTTTACTGGCAAAGAGGTAGATCTTTGTAATTAAAAAAGCAACAAACTAGGGCTAAAATTTTTAGACTTAACTCAAGAAACATTTGCAAGCTAAATAAGCTAAATAGTTATTTTGATCCAGTTAAGCCATTTGTAAAGTAGAGTTTTAAATCCTAACCTCTTAAACAAGATGCTACCAAACTTTTTTAAGCCTTTGAATCCTTTTCGGAAGGCCTATGAAGGTGCAAAGAACTATTGTAAAATGTGTTTTTTATGTATTAATTTTCTGTTTATCGTTAAGGAGATTTCTCAAAAAGTTGAAAATAGAGCTACCCTATGATCCAGCAATTGCACTACTGGGTATTTACCCCAAAGATACAAATGTAGTGATCTAAAGGGGCATGTGCACCCCAACGTTTATAACAGCGATGCCCACAAAAGCCAAACTATGGAAAGAGCCCAGTTGTCCATAAACAGATGAATGGATAAAGAAGATGTGGTATATATATATTATTTGTATATATTATATATATATATAAAAAATACATACATACACATAATGGAGTATTATGCAGCCATCAAAATGAAATCTTGCCATTTGCAATAGCATGGATAGAACTAGAAGGTATTATTATGCTAAGTGAAATTAGTCCGAGAAAGACAGTTATCATATAATCTCACTGATATGTAGAATTTGAGAAATAAGGCAGAAGATCGTAGGGGAAGAGAGTTAAAAATGAAACAAAATGAAACCAGAGAGGGAGATAAATCATAAAAGACTCTTAATCTCAGGCACACTGAGGGTTGCTGGAGTGGAGGGGGGTGGGAGGGGGGTGGCTGGGTGATGGACATTGGGGAGAGTATGTGCTATGATGAGTGCTCTGAATTGTGTAAGACTGATGAATCACAGACCTGTACCCCTGGGGCAAATAATACATTATATGTTAATTTAAAAAAAAGATTTCTGTTTATATTACCAACTAATTGGTTGACCAAACCATCTTCCTCTCTCATCCACAGCAAGTAATAACTAAAGAATATGAACTGTTTGAATTCCGGCGGACTGAGGTGCCTCCATTGCTGCTTATTTTAGATCGTTGTGATGATGCCATCACCCCGTTGCTAAACCAGGTGCAGAACCCTTTATTAGCATAATAGAAGCATGATTTCAAGTGGTATTCATCAAAATGCAGATGTGGAGTAAACAGAATGGTCCATGTACTTGCCTCTTTATTTTCAGTTTTGTGGGTTTTTTTTGTCTTGTGTTTCCTGGTGGTTTGGTATCCCTATTCTTTCAGCCACAGTCATCTTTGGTTCTTTCTTCTGCTTCATCTTTCCTGTCTCCTCCTGCCACCACCTTCACCCCAGTCAAGACAACTTCTAGATTCTGTAGGTTCTCCTTTTACAGTGTCTATCTGTAGTTTTCCATTCTTACTGCCAGTACCTTTGTGTAGCCCTAATCTCTTAAAGGAATACTGAAATAGTCATTTACCCATTCCTCACTTTTAATTTTTATTTTATTTTATTTTTAAAGATTTTGTTTGTTTGTTTGTTTGACAGAGAGAGAGAGAGCACAAGCAGGGGGAGCAGCAAGCAGAGGGAGAGGGGGAAGCAGGCTCCCCGCCGAGCAAAAAGCCTGATGCAGGGTTCGATTCCAGTACCCTGGGATAATGACCCGAGCTGAAGGCAGACGCTTAACCAACTGAGCCACCCAGGCACCCCTTATTTTATTTTTTTATACAAGATCAAATCTACACTTTTATTTATTTACTTTTCAATAAGTTTAAATCCTTGAGGATATAGCATCATATGGATTCTATGTCCAGTGACCTTAGCATGAAGGTTGCTTAAGAATTTGACGTGAGTCATGCCATTGTTTCCATGATTATGAGTTACCTTCTCCAGATTTCTCTGGTTTTGCTCAGTTTGCCACCAGGAGTCACTGTGTTATTCTTTGCTTTGTACACATAAGCACATCTCTTGCCTAGATAGAACTTAGTTTCATCTTCAGCATGAACACCTTCAATTTTAAGAGCTGTATGCTCCCTCTGGTTCTGGAGATCCTGCTTATACCCAGCAAAAATGGCCTTATACTATAGGCTTCCAGACATATTTATCATTTTAGGAGTCCTGTTCCCAGCAGACCTCCACAGGCTCCAAGATGGCTGAAACAGGCCTTGATTCCCCTCTTAATTTCTTTCTACTCTAATATATTTCATTGACACAGTGCTGTTAAATCATTTTTCCTAAAGAACAGTTCTGATCTTACTACTCCTGGCTTAAAAATCTTCATTGGTTCCCATTTGCCTACTAGCTTAAATACAGATTCCTAAACTTGGCATCCAAGAGCCTTCACAATATGGGCCCAGCCTTAACCTACAGCTCACTACTGTGCAGATATGTTGTGTGGTTTCTGGCCATCATTTTATTCATGTTGTGACTTATGCCTAAATGTTGGAATGTTTCGAATACCTTCTCTCCCTATCTTCACCTATCAATATTCTTCTCCTTTAAAACCACTCAAAACATCTCCTTAAAGCCTTTTATTCTTTTAGTCAGACATGTTCTTTTTCCATAAAATTACTGCAGAACTTTGTCTTTCTTATGTCTTTTGCTTTATTTACCATGTTGTACCTTTGATTGTTTTCACACAGTCCTTCAAGGCAGACTCTGTCTTACTGTGTTTGTTCTTCTGCAAGTATAAGAATTGTACTTCATACAAAGTAGAGGCTTTATTAATAGTGACTTTGAATTCGTAGGGAAAGGCATAGTTAATATTTCAGTTTCTTCCCAGCTTATCTTCATGTTAATGCTAGGAGAACTCTGTAGCTGTGGAGTGCAGCTTCTCTATAATAGGATAGCCTTATAGTCCTAAAATACAAAGTAATATATGTTCACTCAAGAAGTTTTGAAAATATAAAAAAGTGGAAAGATAAACGAGTGCCTGTGAATCTATTTTCTAAAGAAAAACAACCATTGGGGCACCTGGGTGGCTCAGTGGGTTAAGCCTCTGGCTTCAGCTCAGGTCATGATCTTAGAGTCCTGGGATCGAGCCCCACATCAGGCTCTCTGCTCAGTGGGGAGCCTGCTTCCCTTCCTCTCGCTCTCTGCCTGCCTCTCTGCCTACTTGTGATCTCTGTCTGTCAAATAAATAAATAAAATAAAATCTTAAAAAAAAAAAAAGAAAAGAAAAACAACCATTTATTCAACCAATTTCACTGAAGACCTATTATGTGCCAGATACTGTGTTAAGTATTGGAGGTAATGGGCTCAGTCAATTCAGTGACTCATGATCTCTGCTCAGATCTTGACCCCAGGGTCATGAGCTCAAGCCCTGTGTTGGGCTTCATGCTGGTTGTGCAGCCTACTTAAAAAAAAAAAAAAAGTATTGGAGGTAAAAGATTAAAAGATGCAGACTCTATTCTTAAAGAGCTCAGGATGGGGAGAGAAGTAACTGATCATTTTAATAATAGAATAAGTACTAATGGTAGAAGCGTGAACAGGATGCTGTGTGGAAGCATAAATATTTTGTTATACATATTTTGTGTGCTCCCACAAAACTTGCTTTTTTCTGAAGATATTATTTACTATTTGAGAGAGAGAGAGTGCATGTGCACACGTGCACAGCAGGGAGATGGGTCGAGACAGAGAATCTCAAGCAGACACCTCGCTGAGCACCAGGTCCCTACTCTGGGCTTGATCTCACAACCCATGAGATCATGAACTGAGCGAAAACCAAGAGTCAGACACTTAACCAATGAGCCACCCAGGTGCCCCTGAAACTTGCCTTTTTAAGGATTCATTTGGCAAGTATTTTAGGAAATGAAGCACCTTCTCTTATAACCTTAAGTTCTTTCTTAATAAATCTAGTGTGCTTAAGATGAAGTAAAAGTATATAAATATTTCTGGCATTTAGATTCTAGATTTAGAAGCTAATTTGCTGGAAAATACTTAGTTTTGTATAAGGGACCTATGACTAAAAAGAACCCATTCTCCATAAATGGTGAGGAGGCAAAATTTGGGGTTTCCCCATTCCATTTTTACCAAATATGTTCACATTTTGTAAAAAGGAAACCAATCCTTCTTCACAATTCATATTAAGTTAAAATATGAAATAAAATGGATTCAGAGGCAAAGCTTCCAAATATGTGTGTTTTGATCAACTCACAAGGTTTGTTTCTGATAATATTAGTGTTCCCAGGATAAATATAGCACCACTCAGATCTGCAAGAACACACTTCTCATGCTGCAGAAAACCACAGAAGCGTACAGGAAATGGTACAGCTTGTAACTGCAGTACCAATATAGCCCTATCTGTGAAGCCAAAAATACACTCTTAATTCACAGGCAAAAACTGAAGCTAATGATAGATCTAATTTGTTTTCTTTCTATCAGGAATATTAATCTTGTTGCCCTTCTTCTGAAAGTGTAAAATCTACAAGTATTTTGACTTTTAGTTTAACCAAATTATGAGTCTTAATGCTTAGTAGAACACAAAATATTAATAAAAGTTGAACTAAATAAACTCTGTGTAAGGAAGACTAGTTGCTAAGAATGTTAACCATTTTTGTTTTCCTGAACATTTACTATTTGCATGTTTTGTCAGTTACCAATTTTTTGTCATAATTCTTCATTTAGTGGACATATCAGGCCATGGTCCATGAACTACTGGGCATAAACAACAATCGGATTGATCTTTCCAGAGTGCCGGGGATCAGTAAAGACTTAAGAGAGGTGGTCCTATCTGCTGAAAACGATGAATTCTATGCTAACGTAGGTGGTTAAAAATTTTTTTAATTGTTTTTAGTTGTTTTTATGTAAGAAGGCCAGTATTGACTTGTTCGAATGAGAACAGATTTAGGATTTTATGTGGAAGGATGATAGACGCATCCTGTAGATAAACTATCTCAAGAGAAGCCGGAAGACTTGGATTCCGACCCTTTAACAGTGTTTTTTTTCTTCCTAGAAATCACATATTTAGCTTTGTATTTTTAAAATTAGAACCCAATTTATTTACTTCCTTCCCTTCTGTAGCCCTTTGTGAGAATAGTAATGGTATTCATCACCAGTGTCCTGGCCAATGTCCAGATTTGGTCATTATAATGGAATTTTCTTGCCCTATGATTCTGCCTTCGGGATTCTTTTTCTCTATTTCTTTTAAATGGCCTGAAAATCAGACTCATTGATAGAATTGTGTTTCCAACTTCCTTTTTCACAGAATATGTACCTGAACTTTGCTGAGATTGGTAGCAATATAAAGAATCTCATGGAAGACTTTCAGAAGAAGAAACCAAAAGAACAGCAAAAACTAGAATCAATAGCAGACATGAAGGTAAATTGAACATGTTCATGGATGACTAACATGCAAGACTTTGGAACTATTCATGTAAGCAACATTTCTGGAATATTCTCAGTCTGATTTCTGACTTGATTCATTTTGTTTGGTTTGAGACAATTTTCTATACTATTTCTCTTTAGGAAACAGTATAGTGGAAACTTCATCACAAGCCATGTACTTCTTTCCATTCTTCATTAACATTTGGACTGCTTAAAGGGTCAGTCTACGACATGTACCAGTTCTTCTCTCTTAAAGCAGAAACAAGATGCCATGGGATTGAAAGTCATAGATGCCTTAGTCTGGGCAGAACAATTCCTGCTTATTTTTTCCCTTCATGCATGTCTGTCCTCAGTCAAATAACAGAACCCCCAATTGCTGTTTTTCCCATGGCAGGCCTTTGTTGAGAATTACCCACAGTTTAAGAAGATGTCTGGGACTGTGTCAAAGCATGTGACAGTGGTTGGAGAGCTGTCTCGGTTGGTCAGTGAGCGGAATCTGCTGGAGGTTTCAGAAGTTGAGCAAGAACTGGCCTGTCAAAATGACCATTCTAGTGCTCTCCAGGTATCTATTCAGTCCAATTTGATGAGCACCTACTATGTGTAAGGCACTGTGCCAGGCAGAGCAAGAGATACAAAGGCAAGTAATCCTTCTTCACCAACATGGAATTTATAATCTAACAAGAAGTTGAGCCAAGAACACAGATTAACTTTATTTAAGATAGATACAGGAACCACAGGAGAAGAATAATGTGCAATAGCAAAGGTTTCAGGCAGTTAACTGGGTATTTAGGAGGGCATCCTAATCTATTAGGAAGAATACTAGACTAAAATCAGAACATCTGGATTTTAGCCACTTGCCACCTTCTGGCTTTGTGACCTGGAGCTGTTGGCTTAATTTCTGAGCCAGTTTCTTCATCTGTAAAGTAGGTGTAATGATATTTATCTCACAGTGTTGTGAGGAAGATTTTAAAAGATACAATATATGTTAAAATGCACTAAGTCTTTTATTATTGTACACCTGCTCTTCATTCCATGAACATGTAAATGTCTGCTACATGTACATTGTGCTATAAGGATCCAGAAGTATGAAGAAGAAAAAGATACCATCTTTTTCCTCAAAGAGTTCACACTATATAGTAGGGAAGAAAGAAATTTAAACCAGGAATTACCATGCTGTAAGTGCTATGATACTAGAGGTATTTACAAAGGGATATGGAAATAGAGAGGAAGGACACCTGTTTCCCCTAAGGATGATGCTTCTTGAAGAAAATGACAGTAGATTTGGGTCTGGACAAATAAGGAGGAGGGTACCAAACAGAGTAAAAGTGCACCAGCCAGAGAGAAGAGGGGAAATTCTTGGCAGAGAGAATGCAAGCATGGATATGTGAGGGGAGAAAAGTAAGGGAACAGAGAATAGTGCTGTGTAGCTAGTGCAGGGTACAAGATGACGAATGGTCTTAGATAAGCCAGAAAGACAGCCTGGGGCCTGATTATGGCCATTGAAAGGACTTTGGGCTTTAATCTTAAAATGTTGAGAACTACCAGAGCATTTTAGAAGAAAAGGAACATAATCAGAACCTTGCCGCAAGAAATTTACAGCGTTGTTGAAGGGAAAAAACTAAAGCACAAGAAACATTTATGAGGTGTTTCAAGGTAATAGTTAATTAAGTAAAAATTGTGATGCTGACTATAATTAGATTTGAGGTTATCAGGGACAGTTCCATAGAGAGGTGATATATTAAGATGGACCATCAAGAATGAATAGAATCTGGGGGAGGATTTCAGTCAGGGATAACAGCAAAAGCAAAGAGGCTGAAGTATGCAGAAGATAATAAACTGTGACCTGTTGGAGAGTGGGTGTGGAAGAGAAATAGGAGATAAATTGAATCGGTAAATAGGAACCAGTTTATGAAGAAGCTTGTAAGAGGAATTTGCACTTGCTGAGATAAGCAGAAAGATCCATTGTAGGGCCATATGTAGAAAGTTGATATGATGAAAGCAGTATGTAAGGAAATTTAATCTAATAAGGATGCTTTGGAGGTGAAAAAACTGAAGTTAGGGTAGTAGACTCACAGTGATAGTACTAAAAATGTTCCGTAAGGGTAAATCTGAGAGACAGTTCAAAGGGAGAAAACAACTTAGCAACAGATTGGATACAAGGATAACTAGACAGAACAAATCTAATAATTCCAAGGTTCCTGAGAAATGACATTGTGGTATCACTCGCAATAAGTCACTTGGGAATGAGAGTCCTTTGGGAGGTAGCCATTTCTAAAACACTCACCATAAGACCATAAGAAGTGCATTTTCTTATTAATAGGACCCAATATTCTACAAGTTAGTCCTTTCTTTCCCTGCTGCAATTCGATTTGACTTTATAAAATAAAACCAGCCTGGTATAATGGAAACAACACAGGCTTTGGAACCAAACTGTCCTGGCTTTTATCCTGTCTCTACATACCAAAGTTTTTTGGAAAAAAAAATTACTTATTTGCCCAAGCCTCAAAGATAAAGATTTCAAACTAATAGACTGTTACCAGGATTCAGTGAGATCTGTAAAATGCTTCACATGCAGTAGGTGCTTGGTAAATGTTGGTTCCCTTCCTCTAAGCATAATGCTTTAAATATATCGTGTAGCTAAAATAAATAAATCTACCCACCTGTGGTTGCTTTAGTTATAGTGAGGTCTTTACTGGGATTTAGAATTTGTTACTTTTTGATGTTTATTAAGATTTCCTCGGAAAAAAAAAAAAAAAAAGATTTCCTCTGAAAACACCATCAGTTTGAAAATTGTAGAGATTCTACTTGCTTATCTTTATGAAAAGTACTTTTGTTAACACTTTGAATTTTATCCCTGTGTTCTTAAATCCTTTCAAAGAACTTTTAGGCCGATTTTATTATTTTTTAAATTGTATTGAATTCTAATTCTTAAATAGATGATATAAGTACTTGGTGAAAGAGTATGTAGTAAAAACTCAGTCTGTTAGTGATCTCACCTGCATCCTTACAGTTATTCTGTATATGCGCAAGTCTGGGGGAGTGGATCTTCCTCTCTTTTTTAAATTCAAATAACAGCATACTTTACACATAGTTCTGTATATTTTGATTTTTCACTTAACCATGTATCTCAGAGACTGTTCCAGATCAGAACCCAAACACTCATTCTTTTTAATCACTAAAATAGTATTCCTTTATAAAGATGGCAATCTGTTTAACTTGACCAACTTACTTGAAACAGTACTTACTAATAACAGTTTGCAGTTTTGTGGGCCTCATAGAAGTATTCCTATGAAAACTTTTTTTTTTAAGATTTTATTTATTTATTTGACAGAGAGAGAGTTCACAAGTAGGCAGAGGCAGGTAGAGAGACGGGGAAGCAGGCTCCCTGCCAAGCAGAGAGCCTGATGTGGGGCTGGATCCCAGGATGCTGGGATCATGACCTGAGCCGAATGCAGAGGCTTTAACCCACTGAGCCACCCAGGCGCCCCCTATGAAAACTTCTTATTTATTTTTTCCAAGAAAAAAAATTTTCTTTTCTAATTTATTAAATAAAAACAAAATGTTGTCCTATAATTATATATAATATATATTATACATATTAAATATAATTATAATTAAATATAAATTTCCTTCTGTTACTTTATCTTTTATTTTTCCTTTTCAAACAATAAAACCAAACTTAACCGCCTGCCAGTTTTAATATCTTTATTTGTGTCTCTCTACCATACAAAAAGCAGTTAGACAAGGTTACTATAATTCCTTGCCTGGGTATTTGAACTCTAACTCATAAGAAATATGAATATTTCTTATTCACTTTAAAAGAAAAAAATACTTTAAAATATGAATTCCATTTGTAATCCACTTTATATTTTAAAAAGTTATCCTTTGAAGGTTTTCTTGCCCATGTTATTAGGGTTTTACAGTGAGCAGTTGATTTGGACTCCCTCACCATAAAGGATTTCTTTGGTAACATGATTTAAATAGTCTATAAAGGGAGCTTTTGTTTGATAATGAGTACATGCCAGGGGCCTGACCCCTAGATGGGTTATAGCATTCCTTGGCTTGACCTTAGATGATAATACGTCATGAAGTAATGAATTGAGGTTTTTGAGCAGAGATGACGTTTGCTTTACTGAATAGTAACTATATCATGATGAAGGGAAAAAAATTCATATATTGCTAAAAAGTAACTTATAAATTGCTGCCACTTCTAACCAGTTATCCTACAGGCTAACAAAAATTTGATTTAGAAGAACTTTCACTAGAACCAAACTGCAACATTCTATCATTAAAACATATCTACAGCCTTGGAAAAGACTCATTTGATCAGTGAGGAAGATTTTTTTTTTCATGCCCTGAAGAGATATATCTTCAGAAAGTGAGCAGTTTTCCCCGCATTGTGTGTCATATCATAGCTTTTCATTTAGAAGGAAGAACTATTTTTATATCCTCCTTTCCTGACCTTGGGTAAAAGACCTCAAATCATCCTGTTAAAGATACATAGTAAAGACTCAATAAATACTTGTTAGAAAAATGAAGAGGAAGAGTTCTATTTGAAACAGTATAGAGCAGTGGCTAAGAGCTTGGGACTTTGATGGCTTGGGTTTGAAAATTTTATTAGTCTTTTTGCCTTTAAAATGGGGGAAAATTACAGTACTTACCTTAAAGATTTTTGTGAGGGTGCAGTGAGCTAGTATGTGTAAAGCACTTAATATGGCACCTGGTTCTTACAACATTCAATAAGTAATAACTGTCACATTATCTGTATTATTATTTGATGATACATTCTGTTTTCTTTATGACATCCAGGACATTGTATTCTAATCTACTCATCACCTCAGATCTCTTTCTCCCTGATTTCAGAAGGGTTTTCTGCTTCTCATTAAGATCATGAGAGGGGCACCTGGGTGGCTCAGTGGGTTAAGCCTCTGCCATCGGCTCACATCATGATCTTGGGATCCTGGGATCGAGCCCCGCATTGGGCTCTCTGCTCAGCAGGGAGCCTGCTTCCCCTCTCTGCCTGTCTCTCTGCTTGCTTGTGTTCTCTCTGTCAAATAAATAAAATCTTAAAATAAATAAATAATTTTTAAAAAATAAAATCATGAGAAAATTATTTGGGACACATTGAGATGACAATTTTACTTTCACCAGTTAAGGATAAAAATGATCATTTTCTCTTTAAACTAACATTTTGCCAGTGTTTCAGACAGTGTTGACCAGCAAAAGACCTACAGTAAAGCTAAATTTTATGTTGACTAGTCATTAAGGAAAAGAATACTGACTCAGATGTATTTACCAGGCAGTGGAATTGGGTCCTGCCTACTTTCTGTCATTTCTATCATTTTTCCTAGATAAGCTCTCCCACAACCCTGTTCTCTCAAACTGTTAGGCTCATTTTTTATCATATCAGCATGTTGAAGGCTTCTGCCAATTTTGTCTTGCTATTCTAATCTGCTGGCTTATAATGTTATTCATTGATGATTTTACTACATTTATGTGCTAGTAGATAACAACAAGAAAGAGTTCCTGTTCTGGAGGTCAAATTAAAACAAAAAATAATAAAGACTATTTTTTCTTGTGACTTCATCTGTAATTTATAAAAATTTGTTCTTGTGCTGCTTCATCATAGTTTTGGCAGAAGAAAACAGAAGAGTAGCCCAAAACAATGGAAGGATCTTTAAATATCAGAAAAGAATTGTTTTTTAATTGATATTTTTTGAGTGAGCGTTAGCTCCTTTTTGAAACTTGACCTTCAGAGAATGAGTTTTTGCTTTTCTTTTCCTATTCATTGATTAGGCATATATGAATGTTAGAATTCAGTGAATTCTGTGTTTGAATCCTATCTTCTTAAGAGGACAATAGTTTTCTTTCACTCTTTACTCGGCCTCTGTATTGTGAAATGTACTTTTCTCTCTTGAAAGTCTCAAGGCTTATGGAAAATTTAATAAGAAAAGAGAAACCAATAGTTCATTATGTAATTCACTCATATTTCCAACATATAAATACCACCATGTAGCAGATATCTGCTGTGTAATTAGAAGTCTCAGATTGTTTTCTCCTCTTGTCTGGTTAGTACCCTGGAATGTCAATATAATGTATGCCACTGGCAGTCAAGTTGATGAGTCAAGTAGCCATGAGTGAAATGTTCAAAATCAAGTCAGAGGATAACATGGGATTCAGGCAAACAAAAATGCCCTTCTTCAAGGACTTACATAACTGAAAGAGAAGAAAGAACTTAGCTTGTACCTACATGTTTCCTTTCATGAGTAAATAGAGGAACCTAGCTGGAACCCTGACCTGAGTCATGGGTTGGGCCCTAAGGGATCAAAAGTAAGCAAAGTAATCTACTCAAAGTAATCTTGGATCATACCCCGCTACATCCTCAAGAGAGAGTGAAGAGTCAAGCCAGGGACTCTAAATACAAGCACCCGATCTCAAGGAAGACAGGTGTATTCTTTACTGGGAAACAGCCAAGAGTGAAGATGCGAGTGAAAGTAGTTAGAAAGGGAGCAAGAAGGGGGCAGGCTGATTGGGGCAGTCTTTGTCCCTATACCAGTTTTGTGGTTTCAGCAAATCTGAGAAATTGAGTAGATTTAAGGTAAAAAGAGAGTGATCCCAAGGGCAGTAATTGAAACATTGTGCTATTTAAAAAGTGGCAAAAGAGATCCCAGTTTAAAAGATGTTTTAAACTGGGTGCCTGGGTGGCTCAGTGGGTTAAGCCTCTGCCTTCGGCTCAGGTCATGATCTCAGGGTCCTGGGATCGAGTCCTGCATCAGGCTCTCTGCTCTGCAGGGAGCCTGCTTCCTCCTCTCTCTCTGCCTGCTGCTCTGCCTACTTGTGATCTGTCAAATAAATAAAAATCTGTTTAATTTAAACAAAAAAGATGTTTTAAACTTAGGCTAAGTTGATTGAGAGACATAAGAAATAGGGTATTCTTACTTGATAATAATTTGTACTCTGAAATTTCTTCATATTATGATAGAAACACAAAGTGGCAAATTTGAGCAGATATTCTAAATAGTCTGTATTCTGTGATTACGCTGGAAAGGGTACTGCAAAAGAAAAAAAAGTAAGGAAATTCTTTTGACTGTAGGGTTTAAATCTAAAAAAGAGAAATAAATGTCTTCCCTTTTGATTCCTTAAAGACAATGCTAGGGAAATATTCACTCAGAAAAGCAACAATAGAGATCCTACCCAGAGACCTTCCTACTTGAGAGCCACCTGGGAGCTTTCCCATGTCATCATAGTCCTCTTTGGTGTGAACAGAAGAGTTCTTAAACATTAGGCCTGGTTGTTGTGAAGATCAGGTATGTGAAGGCTTCTCATAAGTTGTAAAGTTCCATTTGGATGTATGTCCTCAGACTCTAGTGCCCTCCAAGGCTCTTGCCAGTCTTTCAACCCAACCCATTCCTTTCTCTGATTTCCATATTCCTGTGAAGAGCATCTCCTCTTTTAGTCTCGCAGACTAATTCTAACACTTAACTGATTCTTTAGGGTCTTTTGCAAATGTCACCTTCTTCATGAAGTCTTTCTTGATTCCTCAGAAACCAGATGTACTTTTCTTCACTCTGTGTCCCCTTCCCTGCATTGTGCTGATTCTTTCTGTTTCTTGGGGTTTTTTTCCCCCCTGCATATATATATTTCTGTTATAATACCACATATGTTTTCCTGAAAAACCTCCTCCCATTCTGTAAAATTATGTACTAAAAATAAACAAGTGTTATGGGAAAATAGGTTTATAAGCAGGTCACTTAAAATCTATGTAACTAAAAAAAATCTATATAACTTTTTAATCAAAGCCCTAATAAAAGTAGTGACAATCCTAACAAAAATTTAATGCAGTTAAATCTCCACAGGCATTTGCACCTAGAAATATACTCCGTCCACCCTTTGTAGCCTTCCTTATTCCTGGGATTTACATTTTATTCTTCAAGATGTAAAGTCAGGTGCTCGCTTCGGCAGCACATATACTAAAATTGGAACGATACAGAGAAGATTAGCATGGCCCCTGCGCAAAGGATGACACGCGAATTCGTGAAGCATTCCATATTTTTTCTCTGCCTGCCTCTCTGCCTGCTTGTGATCTCTGTCTGTCAAATAAATAAATTTAAAAAAAAAAAAAAGATGTAAAGTTAGAAAAACTTTTGCTTCTCATACAAACTAGTTTCACCAAAATTAAAAATACAATATGGGAATATCAGTCAGTTTTTCACTGTCATTTTGTTGCTTTTTAACTCAGAGAAATATCTTTGCATCCATTTTATTTGCACTTGCCCTTTCCCCAGATAGCTTAATACAGTGGAAAATACAACAGTTCTTCAAGCTACAAAACCAGCTACTTCTTACAGAAAACTCTCGTATAGGATTTACATCCTTTTTTCTTAACATAGAGTTAAAGCTTCCTCTTAAAGAGGAAGCTTGACCCTATTCCCTTCTTGATACTAACATGCTGGAAAAACTGCATATAAACCATTATACCTTCTGTGTTAAACTGACACCATTCCCATATTTAATGATCTCGTACAGTTAAAGTGCATTCAAGAAGTGTGCTTTGTAGCAGAATAGGCTATAATTGTTTCATTCCCCTCACCTCCTTGTCTGTGAACTCACTAAGCACAGAAACTGTCTAACTCACCTCTCTATCCCCTCCAGTGCCTGGCATAGTGCCTTATCCTTAGAAGGGAATAACAAAGTAGTTCTTGGCTTGAATTAATTTGTTCTTCTGCTGCATAGTAAACATAAATATTATACTACGGGGAAGTTCCTTAATGTGAGGATTGGCAAAACCTAAATGATTTTGTCTGGCTTCCTTTGCTGTCAATACCTGCCCTGTTAGGATCACAGGTGTTCAGTTTAGAGATTACATGCTACATACTCATATCTCTGAAGGCCATAAGGAGACATATTGTTACATCTGATGGTTCTTGGAGATTAAGCCCCATCAAAACTCTACCAACTTGCCTCCCATTTCACTGGTCAGTCACTAATGCTAAGCAATAGTTTTGCAAGGCAGTGGGTCAGTTCTCTTATGTGCTTTGTTGATTGAAATGGTGGAAATTGTATATGTTCCTTGTTTCAGCAAGGAAGCTGCAGGCTTTCCCACCTGAGACCATAGACTGTCTCATCAAAGGAAAGAAAGAAGGAACTATCCATAGTTAAGTTCATTTTTGTCCTAAAGCAATTGCAATGGGAATTTTTTTCCTTGTTTAATTCTTATCTTAGGCAAAGGCATTCAATTTTCTGTAGTTGAAACTAATGCTAAACCTATAACCTGTACATTGCCATAGTAGTAATCTTAGTCATGAACTCCAGTGCATCACTGCCATTCAATAATTATTAGACCTAAGATCTTATACATCACTTAGGTGAAGGGGAGATAAATATCAGCTCTTTCTTTTTTCAGAATGTAAAGAGGCTCCTGCAGAACCCCAAAGTGACAGAGTTTGATGCTGCCCGCCTGGTGATGCTTTATGCTCTACATTATGAGCGACACAGCAGCAATAGCCTACCAGGACTAATGATGGACCTCAGGAATAAAGGTGTTTCTGAGAAGTATCGAAAGGTAACCATTTCTATATTAATCCCCACCAAATAGCTAGCAACTCGATTATTATATTCTTAGCTCTGACAAATGAGAACTCATACTGAGTTTTTTTTTAAGATTTTATTTATTTACTTGACAGACAGAGATCACAAGTAGGCAGAGAGGCAGGTAGAGAGAAAGGAAGGGAAGCAGGCTCCCTGCTGAGCAGAGAGCCCGATGTGGGGCTCGATCCCAGGATCCTGAGATCATGACCTGAGCCGAAGGCAGAGGCTTTAACGCACTGAGCCACCCAGGCGCCCCCCATAATGCTTTTACTTACAGAAATATATAACTTTGTCCTCTCATGTCTTCATTTCCTTAATAAAGGCATTTTCTTATGAAGTGAGTTTCCTGATCCCCAAGCAATAAGAGGTGGTTTCCCTTTTTTTCCTAATAGCTTGTGTCTGCAGTAGTTGAATATGGTGGTAAACGGGTCAGAGGAAGTGACCTCTTCAGCCCCAAAGATGCTGTGGCTATTACCAAGCAGTTCCTCAAAGGATTGAAGGTATGGCATGTTCTCTGTACTTTCCTAAATGTGAATCAGTGGAGGCCCCTGCGTCTGAGGGTGAATAAATAAGATCTTCAGAGTAACTTCAGAATTGCTGCTGATTTAGTACTATGTCAGTTAAATGAAATTAAAGCAGACATCCTCCCAAACGCTTTCTATATTGGAACAGTATCAGCATTGGACCAAACAACTGAACAGGGAATAATAGAATATTTCCAGGAAATATCCCAGAGTAGAAAACAGTTCCGTTAGTTATAGCTGTTTTACTCCATTTGTTTATCATTTAAGATTTGCTTGGTAGTTTTCTTGGAAGGATATTAAAGATGAAGCAAACAACTGTAGATCTTTTTAAATTACTATTTTCTTAAAATGGCAAAAAAAAAAAATTAGTTTTAATCTGCAAGCCTTTCCTACGTTTCCAGAAATGTTTCCATTTTCTTGAGTGTTTCCAGACTCCTTTTCTATGTGGTCTTTTCCTCCTACTTGCTCTACCTATCATATAACATTTTCACAAAAGGGTAAGAATCACTGAAAAAATGATAAAGGATTTAAGCAATTCCATTTTTTAAATTCTTTTATAATAGCTAGGCTTAAATTACAAAGTATTTTTATGAGATTAGAACATTTCTAATTGATGAAAAGAAAATTTTAAATTATTTAACCATAAAATTCCCATTTGAATCCATCCTGTGAAATCCCTATTGAGTGCGTGTCCTTCTCTGATGAGTATCACTAACTGTTATATTCCAAGTTTCCCGAAAATGATATAAGAATCATCTTCCCCTGTCTTAGGGAGTAGAAAATGTGTATACTCAACATCAGCCTTTCCTTCATGAGACCCTGGACCATCTCATCAAAGGGAAGCTTAAGGAAAATGTGTACCCTTATCTAGGCCCCAGCACACTCAGAGACAGGTAAGATAACCAAGATATCAATAATGAAAACCAGAAACACTAATAATATAGGAAATGTGGAGTATGGTAAGAAACAACTAAGATGTTGCTGCTCTACTCCTCCTTCCACTGTTGTTTCAGTTCTGAGAATCTTCTGGTTTTATGTGTGTCAGGGTTAGATATAAATTCACCTGCTAAGCCTGCAAGATTATTTCTTTTGGAATAAAGAAACAGGTGTTTTGAAGTATCCCAAATACTTGTATTCTGTCCTTTGGTATCAGATGAGTTTACTTATGCCATTTAAGGTTGAGTTCCATGGCATTTTAACATTTGGAGTTTCAAACATAACAGCCAAATATAGATCTGCTGCTTGGTTGCCTTCCAGAGCAGGTTGTTACTATTTTTGGTGAGGACTAGATTTTGCCAAATGTGGCCAGCATACAACTGAGACCTAATTAACAGAGGCCATTTGTTATACAGAATCAAAGGATGGCTTGCTTTTGGGGTAATAACTGAAGGAAGCAATTAATTGTCATTTTAATCCAGTGGTCTGTCAGGTTTTGTTTTGTTTTGTTTTAAAGATAGTATTTATTTATTTGACAGGGAGAGACACAGTGAGAGAGGGAACACAAGCAGGGGGAGTGGGAGAGGGAGAAGCAGGCTTCTCTCCAAGCAGGGATCCTGATGTGGGGCTCGATCTCAGGACCCTGGGATCATAACCTGAGCTGAAGACAGACACTTGAGCCACCCCAGGTCCCCCGGTCTATCAGTTTTAATAAAAGAAAACTCCAGATCAACTTACGTAGACCAACCTGAAATTTTAAATTTGCACAAAGTCTACTTTGTTACAAATTATATTGTGTATTTTTTTTTAAGTGGGATCACATATTACAAAGAGCCTAATATATGTAATGGAATCCTATCGGATAGATTGATGTGTGAATTATTACTATTGGTAGAATTCTTCTATTATTTCAGCTAATCATAACCTAAGAGTCTTGGAAGAATAGTGTTTTATATATATAATAAACTTCTGAAAGGAAAAGATGACTCTTTCATACGATAAAATGTATTTTTTTTCCAGTTTGTTCTTTTACAAAAAACAAAACAAATTTGGTAACAGAACAGAAAAGAAAGATCTTTTTAAAAATCCAAGGTTGAGAGGCAGAATATCTGGAGTTAAATTCAGACAGTACATTCATTCAGATAAAATGTTTAAGGACCTTGATGTCAAGATTCAGAAATACCAGCTAAGTGAAAAGTACACAAACCAGCCTAAAGCTATTTACCTATAATAGAGGCTTTTCAAAAAATAGTATCACTCTTTTAACTGGCCTTCTAATTAATGTATGACAAAAGTAAAAATAGTACTTTTTTATGAATTTCATTTAAGAATTATCAAACAGGAAATTAGCTATGTATTGCTAAAGAGACACCATAGACCACCAGAAAAGTATATTGTGTACGTTAGTTCATAACAGCAAACCTTTCTAATTTGGGTGATTCGTTTCCAAATAAAGCTCAAAATGATGCTTTTCCAACAAAATGCACATTTATCAGTTGTCAGCATCTGTTCACATTTGTCACTATTACCTAAATACAAATATAGTTAATAATTCAATTGCTTCGTCCTTTTATATAACAAATATTTTTTGAGTGTCTTCAATATGTCAAAAACTGTTGTAAATGCTGGGGAACTAGAACAGGAGAGACAGGTTACCTGCCCTTAAAGGGACTTACACGAAGGAGACAATAAGCTAGTAAACAAACAAAGAATATAATTTGAATGAAATAAGTACTATTGAGGAAATAAGCTACAAAGTAACTTTATAGAGGTCAGGGGGCTGCTTTTAATGGAGAGAACCTCTCTGAGGAAATGCTATTTAAGATGAGCTTTGAGGGGCGCCTGGGTGACTCAGTCATTGGGCGTCTGCCTTCAGCTCGGATCATGATCCCAGGGAGAGTCCCGGGATCGAGGCCCCCATCAGGCTTCCTACTCAGCAGGAAGCCTGCTTCTCCCTCTCCCACTCCCCTTGCTTGTGTTCCCTCTCTCACTGTGTCTCTCTCTGTCAAACAATAAATAAGATCTTGGGAAAAAAAAAAAAAAAAGATGAGTTTTGAATTAAAAGAGCCAATCACAAAACAATTAAGAGAAAAAGCATCCGAAGCAGAGGGAACATCTGAGCAAAGGCCTTGAAGATAGAACTTGGCAAGTTCATGGAAAGGAAAGAAACCCAGTGTGGTTGGGGCATAGTGAGTAAGGAGGAAATAAGTTAAAAAAATAAGTAGGGGCTGGATTACATAGGGTCTTAAGAAGGGTTTTAAATTTTAAATGTCAGAGTAAACCACTGAAGACCTTAGCATGTAGGTGACATGAACTGAATTACTTATTAAAGGATCACCTTCTAGAGAGAGTTGGGTTTTTGGGGGGGGTTTGGTTTTTGGTTTTTGGTTTTAGAATGGATTTTTGAAGGCAAAAATAGAAGCAGGGAGACTACTTAGGAAGCAGTTGCAATAGTCCAGGTAAGGAATGAAAGAGGTTTAAATAAGGAGGCTAGGAGAGAAAGAATCAATAGACTTATTTAATAGAGTCATCTACTCCACTAAAGAGACTATATACTCTTACCCTTTTACCGTAGAGTAAGAGAAAAGTCTAGAATAACTCTCAGATTTGGGAGGGGTAGGTCAGGAATCAAGTTGTTAAGTTGTAGATGTAGATATACAACTTGTAGATAACAAGTAGAAATGTTAGATAATAAATTGGGAGTCAACAAGATTTTGGTGATATTTAAAGCTATGGGATATAAGATAGATAAGATCACTTAGGGAGAGAGCGTAGAAAGAGAAAAGAGAGCCCAGGACTGAGCACTGAGTGGAAGACAAGGAGCCAGAAATGGAGACTGAGGAGGAGACAGAAAGGTAAAAGGAAAACCAGGAGAGCATAGTGTCATAAAGACCAAGAAGCAAGTGGTAACCTGAGTCTGATCTTCTGAGGTAAATGTGCAAACAGTGAGGAATCCATCATATATGGCAACATGAAGGTCTCTGGTGACCTATTCCCTAGTTTCCACGAGACTGGAAATAATTATAATACAAATTACAGTTACAGGATGTAAGATAAAATAGAGATAACAAATGTATGTAACACTTTTAAAGAAATTTTGCATGAAGGTGTCAGAGAAACGGGTGGTAGCTAGGAGAGAGTGTGTGCTCAAGGGAAGAGATTCTAGAGCATATCTGATGAGACTGTAATCTAATAAGAATTACCCTAAAGAAAGAAAAGTTGAAAATGCAGAAGAGAAAGAGGAACTGCACAAGTGAAGTCTGTACTGGATCCAGAGCATTAGCAGAGGAGCCTTTGATAGAAACAGAAGTACTTTCTTCTTTTTAACAATTTTGATGGTGAGAATATGGGACCATCTAAGCTGATTGCTTCTATTTTCTCAGTAAAATACGCTGTCCACTTATCAACAAGGTGGTGGGTAAAAAGAGGAAACATTGTGAAACTGTCATCTTGCAGACCAGGAATTTAATTTACTAAGGAAATGTAAGTAGGACTTCTAGCCAAATTGAGTGCCCATTTGAGTTTCATGGTCATAAATTTAAAATAGTGGGGTGCCTGGGTGGCTTAGTCAGTTAAGTGAGAGACTGTTTATTTCAGCTCAAGGCATGATCTCAGGGTCTTGAGATCTAGTCCCAAGTGGGCTCCATGCTTGGTACAGAGTCTGCGTGTCCCTCTCCCTCAGCCCTTCCCTCCCCAAATCAATAAAAAAATAAACAAAAATCTTTAAAATAGAGCCCATGAACCTAGTTGTGTGGTTTTCTCCAGCAACTTTTGGCTGTACTGGATTAAATGAGGATAAGACTGGTAGCTAGGCACAACCTGGATTTGGGGAATTGAAAACTGAAGAAGGGTATTGGATGATAAAGTATTGTTGAGTGAATTAGTGGTCTTGATGAGGTCAAGAAATATTATAGTAGAAGTATTAGTTTAGGTGAAGTAGAAGTTGAGGAGGTGGTTATTGAAGAAAGAGATCTTGAATTCAAGATGTCACAGTGCAGATGCTTATAGTGAAAGAGTTTATGTTATAATCATGGGTGTTGGCTATGAGGGATAGAAGAACAGATCATCTGGGGTGAGAAGACCAGGCTGTGAGATGAGTAATCCACATCGATGTGAAAGTCACTGAAAATCCTGAAAGGAACAGCAGTGACAAGGAGGACAGTAAACCAGAGCTAAAGTCTTCAGGGAATAAGAGAGTGACCAGGAAAGGAGGTCAGGAGAAAAGAGTGCAACTGCATCATGAGCTTCTAACATAACGGAGACATTGAAGAAGGCAGCGAAGTTGGTTGTGAAACAACAGGAGGGAACACAGAAGATACCTGTGCCACCTTCTGGCCCTGTTTTACAGCAGGTAGACCGCAGAGGCCTTGAAAAGACCTACTGAACAATTCTGCTTCTATAAGTTTGCTGTTTAGATATATTGTGCAAGTACACAAAGACATATAAATAAGGATAGTTACCAAAACATTTGTAACAGTTAAAAAAAAAAAAAGCCCAAAACAAGCTAAATATCCATCAATAGAGGACTGGTTACCTAAATTACAGTATTACAGTACAGTGCTATGCATTCTTTAAAAATGCAAAACTCTTCATGGGGTGATCTAAAAACTTTCTAAGATATATTGGATAGAAAAGCAGAATGCTATAATATCCCTTTTGTGTAAAAAAAACCAACAACAACCCAGTCTAAGCATAAATGCTATTAAATACACATGTGTATATAAGCAAGTCTGCTCAACTGTACATATATACATTGTATGTAATATATGTGTAAGCACACATATGTTTATGTATACTGTGAATATTTTGGAAAGAACAAGAAAGTGTTAATAGTGGTTACCTCTGGATATTGAGGCAGTAGTTAGTTGTATACATACCTGTTTTGCCCATTAGATACTGATACTGTATTAAGTATCATAATCTTTTTTTTTTTTTTTTAAAGATTTTATTTATTTAT